GAGGAAGGGGACGGCCAAGGCTGAAGCCTCCTGTGCTGCCAAGATGCGTGGCCGCAGGAATCCGCTGGGCAGGACCTGGAATGGGAGGGGCGCGGGGGCCTTGCCGTCCTGCTGCTGCCCGCAACACAAAGACCACCCTTGTTCAGCAGACTTAGATGGTGCCCTGGGCCCAGACCTCCCGGGGTCCTGTCCAGCCTGCTCATGGAGCTGAGGGTCCTGGCCAGGAAGGGGATGTGCTGCCCACCGGGACTTTTGGATGGGGAGAGAACACACATTCTGGTCGGGGCTTGAGGCTCTGCCTTGGGCTCTGCTCAGGCATGGAAGGCCAGGTCCAGGACCTGACTGCTTTGGCACCCAGTAGATGGGCCCTCAGGCAGTGGGTCACTGACATTCACCACCAGAAAAGGCAGTAAAGGAGCTGCCTTTGTCACAGTCACCCCTGCAGTGGGCAAGGATGGGGTTGCTGGGGTACTGGCATGGGACTGAGGTAGACATGGCCCCTTTTCTTGTGCTATTTTGAATTAATAACTCAGTGAACCTTGGCCAGACTCATTCTCAGACAGAGGTTGTAGAAGCCAAGGCTTTTAGTCGAGATGGATGTTAGACGTGCCAACTATACCTGCCCACCGGCCCCCTCCCTCTAATACCTGCTTATTAACCTCTCCATCCCTCTTACACCGGGAGGAGTCTTGTGCCATATTCCAAACTGGGCAGGTGTCATCAATGCTCTCCTGAGCTGGAGGTATCTGAACCTGTGTGGTATTCCTCATACGTCCACATGCTTGTGAGCAAATCCATCCTTCCACTCATTTCTTCACTTAGTATCCATTTATTGAGTGCCTGCTGTGTGCCAGCCACTGTTCCAAGTGCTAGGAGTTCATCAGAGAACAAGGCAAACCAGTCTCTACCCTCTAGTACACTGTGGCTCGACTCCAGAGCCCGTTCCCTCCATGGCTGTGATGTCACTCTTGGCAGATCCCTCCTGGTTGGCTTTGGCTTTCTCTCCCTACAGATTATACATAACAGGTACTCATGCTGACTGCCAGATCCATGTCAGTATTCGCCAAGGAACCCCTTATCGGAGATTGGCAGAGAGCACTGCAGAGGGAAAAACAGTTGAAATCTCAGGAAAGTGAGAAGAAACGTGTGAAAATTGGGCTCTCATACTCATTAGCATTAAATCAGACCAGGGTCTGGTTGGAAACCTGTGCAGGCCTGCTATTTCTCGCTGAGTCCTGCTATTTTAGCTTAGCAAATTCGAGCAAGATTTCATGTTCATATACAAGGGCAAGAAAGACAAAAACTGGGATCCTCAAGGGCAAGGCTGATACTGTTTGCTGAGTAGGTGGGGGCGAGGATGGGGATGGTGGGATTGGGATGAGCTGAACACGAGGACTTGGGTGACAAGACCATAGGTGAATGCTCTGTTCACACACTCTCCATTCTCACCTTGTTCTCTGACACTGGCTCTGTTCACATTTCTCCCCCACTCGCAAACCTTCAATGGCTCCCCCATGACTCCTGATGCCCAATCTGTCTTTTCAATCCCATCTCACAGGATATTTCACATCTTAGCTCCAGTCATATAGGATAGCTCGTTGCTGCCTATGCACCCCTCTATTTTTGCGTTTGGTGATCATGGTAGCCAGTACTCACTCAACACTTAGTGGGCTCGGTCCAGAGCTTTCCTTCTTCCGATCTTACAGGTGGGAAGTCTCATTGCCTGCGTTTTTACAGAGGGGTTTCTCAGAATAGTGCCTGACTTGCCCGAGGCCATCTGGCAAATGAGAATTTGAACACAGGCCTCTCTGTCCCCAGAACCTAAACTGTTGACTATTATGTAGACCTTTGCTGGGATCGTAGTGCTTTGTCCTGTGTGGTCTCTATTAAATGACTTTGTGAGCCTGGAGTGGTGGCTCATGCCTGTAATTCCAGCACTTGGGAAGACTGAGTCCATGGGTTCGAGACTAGCCTGGGGAACTTGGCAAGACCTTGTCTCTACAATAGATAAAAAAGTTAACCAGGTATGGTGGTGCACACCTGTGGTTCCAGCTTGTTGGAAGTCTGAGGTGCAAGGATCGCCTGAGCCCAGCAGGTCAAGGCTGCGATGGCTGTGAGCATGCCACTGCACTCCAGTCTGGGTGACAGTGAGACTCCAACTCAAACAAACAAGCAAACAAGACTTTGTGGAAATGTTAGAAATTTGAGGTGAGATACCAAGAGCAAGAGATGGCACCCGTTGTTCTGGATCTCAGGATACCCCAGACCCTCCTGTTACATCTTCCCCCTCCCCCAACACAGGCTCACACTCCCTCATACCCCACCCTGTTCCATCATGTCCAACCTAGCCACCTCTAGCTGACTCAACAGACCATAAGGTTCTTGATCAATGACTGCAGCATCCTCTCTTCCCAAGCACCACAGTCTGCAGAGATGGAGCTGTGGTCCTGGGGAGGTGTCTTGTGCTTGCCTGGGCTCTCCTGGATCCACACACTGTTCAGATCTATTTTTGTTACAAGTTAGGATAATTGACTGTGACTCCTTGCTGTGATGGGGAAAGGGGTGATGACCTAGATGTTGCAGTCACAGGAAGAAGCCCCCCGACTTTTTGTGGACACTAGTCCCCCAACTAGCTGGAAGGAGGGAAAGGTTGCAGTCTTCTTGGTTTTCTCAAGGCCTTGGGAAGTCTGAGAGAGCAGAGCAAGTCATGGGCTGGTGGAAGGCCATTTGTTGCAGGCCTTTCCTGGGCTTTGCCCACTGCCTCTTAGGCCCAAAGGTCAAGTGAGGCAGTAGAGAAAAAAAAATCCTCATTGTGAAGTGTCTGTGGCCCTGCTCGGATGAGAGAATGGTCCCCTTTCAGCAGCCCCGCTTGGAGCCAGGACAGTATTCCCAGTGGGACAGGCTGGTGAATGGTCATCTGTCTGGCCAGATGGACCCAGGCCTGGCCTGAGAGGGAGGAGACTCAGGTTCTGGTTTCTGTTTGCGAATTCTGGGGCTCTGGAGTACTTCAATAAATAAACACCTATTTATTGAACTCCTACTGTGTGCATGGCAGTGTAAGGGACACAAAGAAGTACTGATTTGAAAAACCACAGATCAGAATTTATCCATGCAAATGAGTTCGCTCCCCAGGGAGGCTAGATACTCACAGATTCAGTGAGGCTGCCACTATTTGAGGAATCAACCACCCCCAACCTTGTCCCTGCTCCAAATGATCTTGAATTTTCTCAGTGGAGATTGTTGATGTTTTAAAATTAAGAGTAGCTAGTAGTCATTTGGAGTTCATTCATTCTTTACCTACTATGAGCCAGGCATTGTTCTTGCTATCTGGGGATGAGACTATCCTGAAAGTGCTCCTGGTCTTCTGGGGTGAGCAGCAGGTCAGCCAGGCTGATGAACAGCTGGGGCTGGCAGTGGTTCCCTCCAAGAGACCCCCAGCCCACCTGCTGTGGGAATAACCCCAGCCCTCAAGAGTGTGAATGTGGCTCATGGCAGGTATGAAGCTACAGGTGGGCAATGACAATGCCCAGAGGTAAGTGCATGACAGACATCCTGGGGGTGCTAGGGGAACAGGGGAGATGGAACCCTGACCCCACATGGAGTGGATTACAACTGGAGAGGATAACAACTGCCAGTATGTAGTGACCACCCTTTCTGCACTAGGGGTGATGCTAAGCACTTTAAGTGGAGTAATTATCTTGCTTTATCACCGCAGCCCTTCAAGGAAGATACTATAAAACCTCCTCATCCACATTTTTCATATGAGGAGACTGAGACACAGAGAGTTTAAGTAACTTGTACAAAGTCGCGCACCAGGGAAGATTCATATCCAGCTGTTCTAACACCTGAGTCTACCTGTTCAACAGCTACATTGTGCTGCTTCCAAGAAGAAGGGGAGAAAGCAAATGGCTAACCAATAAAGTACAACCACAAATTGTTGTTGAGACCAGTGTTTTTTTTCTTTTTTTAATCCTGAAGAAAATTCCCAAAGAGGATCTGTGATCTATGGCAACTTCAACAGATGGAGTACTTGACCTTCTGACAGGGGCCTGTAGACTCTTTGGAGGACCTGAGCTTTTGGAGACAGACAGACTTGGGTTTGCATGTCTGCAAGTTCCCGAACCTCTGAACATTTGTTTCCTCATCTCTAATGCGGAGCTATTACTTACATAAGAATAAACTGGCAGCATTCTTATGAGGACTCTTTAGTCTGTTCAGGCTGGTATAACAGAGTATCCTAGACTGGGTAGGTTAGCAACCTGCATTATTCCTCGCAGCTCTGGAAGCTGGATGTCCCAGATCAAGATGCCAGCAGACCCAGTGTCTGGGGAGGGCTTTCTTCCTGGTTTGCAGATGGTGCTCTCCTCTATATCCTCCCATGGATGAGAAAGATCATCTCTCTCCCACCTCTTCTCACAAGGCACTAATCCCATTCATGAGGGTTTTGTCTTCATAATCTAATTCACCTCCCAAACACACCCACCTCCTAACATCATTACAATAGGGGTTCAGATTTCATATGAACATATGAATTTTGGGAGATGCAGACATTCAGTCCAAAACAAGGACTGAAAAGAATAACTTACGTAAAGCTTATTAAGAGAAGTGACTCTCTCTTGTAATCCCAGCACTTTGGGAGACTGGGGCCAGAGAATTGCCTGAGCCCATGGGTTCGAGACCAGCCTGGGCAACTTGATAAGACCTTGTCTTCACAATAATTAAAAAAATTAACTGGGCATAGTGGTGTGCACCTGTGGTTCCAGCTACTTGGAAGGCTGAGGCAGAAGGATCACCTGAGCCCAGCAGGTGGAGGCTGTGGTGGCCATGAGCGTGCCTCTGCACTCCAGCCTGGGTGACACCACTGCACTCCAGCCTGGGTGACAGAGTGAGATTCTGACTCAAAAAAAAAAAAGAGAAGTAACCACTTAGTGGATATTAACGTCCTTTTCTCTTCTTAAGGAAGTTATTTGAAGGTGTTGATTTCCTGGCTCTTGTTAGTTTCTGGGGGTGAGCAGATTCTTGTCTGGGAGAAATCAGCAGACAGACAAGAAGAGAACGGAGAAGGTGTTGAAGGTGAGCCTTGATTCTCTGAGCCTCGATTTCCTCAGATGAGTATCTACCTTGTAGAATTGTTGTGAAACTCAGTCGAGATGATACTTAGGGCATTTCTGGTATATACGGGGGGGGATCCCAAAATGTATTTATAAAAAATTGTGTATTTATTCTTACCTGTTTACACTTCTGTCACCTTCAAAGTATTCTCCATTTGGTGCGATACACCTGTTGAGACACTTTTCTCACTGCTCAAAACAGTTTTGAACTTGTCAATTTTGATGCCTTTTAGTGCTTCTGTCATTTTTTGTTTCACTTCTTCCACATCCACAAAACATTTCTCTTTGAGGATTTTTTCATCTGGGGAAACAAACAGACAGAAACTCATTCAGGGCGAGATCGGGTGAATAGGGAGGGTGTGGCACAGGGGTCATGTTGTTTTGGGTCAAAACTGCTGAACACTCAGCGAAGTATGAGGAGGTGTGTTAGTAAATCATCCATCATGAAATTGGCAAACACACTAAAAGAATCTCCAAAAAAAAAAAAAAAAAAGAAAAAGAAAGAAAACTTCCCTGGAGTTGCCAAAGCATTTCACAACAATGTTAGCTGGTATACTGATGTCGATGGGTTCTTGAGTACTTATCTAGCTGGAGAAGCCTATGCTACAAAGGGCCTGTCCTTCAAAAATAATTCCATTTTTGGGAGGTCCCCCTCATATATTTTGTTTGTTCATTTTGATTTGGGGTCTCACTTTGCTGCCTAGGCTGGAGCGCAGTGGCAGGATTATGGTTCACTGCAGGCTTGATCTCCTGGTCTCTGGCAATCCTCAGCCTCCCAAGTAGCTGGGATCGTGGGGATGCGTCATCATGCCTGGCTACCTTCTGATTTTTTGTAGAGATGAAGTCTCGCTATGCTGTCCAGGATGATCTCAAATTCCTGGGCTCAAGCAATCCTCGTGCCTTGGCTTCCCAAAGTGCTGGGATTACAGGCGTGTGGCATCACTCTGGGTTTCCAGTATATTTTGGATGGAGCCATATGAAATTGCTGATAGTCAACCATTTTTGTCCCACAAAACTGAAATTCTATACGGTTCAAACCATGAACTGTGTAAGTCCCAATATTATATCAACATTTACTATTAGCAGTTCTAATGTGAGTTTTCATATTTTGTAACCACAAGGAGTTCACTGAGGCAGCTGGGTGTGCTAACTTTCCTCTAGTCCTAAAATTGGGATCTCAGTGTTTTTCTCTCTTTACAGGTGCGAGAAGGCCCCACAGCTTGAGGTGAGTCAGCAAAGACTGACTCAGGGTCACTCAGGAGGACTGACTCAGGGTCCTGCCCTTTGTCTCTCATGACTGGCCTCTCTCATGCCCTGTTCTGGGTGGGTCTGGAATGCTCTGCTCACCCAGAGTCAAATGCCACGTCCTGCTGAGCTCAGGAGGAATTTCACAGCCTCTGTAGAAACCCAGCCCGTCAAGGGACCTGACCCTTGGCCTCTTTCTGAGGGCTACTTAGCTCACCTGTTGGGTCCTGTGAGCTCTGAGGAAGGAGGAGGGGTGGCAGCCATCATCACTCATGCTGGTCTCCATGATTCCCTGTCTCCAGGCTCCTGGATGTTTCCGCGTCTGATTCGGGTTGTTTTCTTGGCCTGAGATCCTGCTGAGGAAGCACTGGTGGGTTTTGCCTTTTGTCTTCCTTCTTCACCCAAGATAAATCCTGTCACAGAACATACCATAAACAGTCAAGAGAAAAATGACACATTGGAGGAACCTATTTGCAATCTTTATCGATAGGCAAAAGGTTCCTACATAAATAGATCTTAGAAATTGAGAAGAAAAAGAGCAAAAATCTAAGAGGAAAATGAATAAAAGACATGAGCAGACAGCTCTGAGAAAAAGAGAAGGCATGTGACTCTTCAACATAGGAAACTGTTCAGTCTCACTCACAGTCAGAGAAATGCACACTAAAACTTCATCAAACCACCATTTTTCCATACTAAATTGGTCAAAGTCCCAAAATGTGACAGTTCACTCTGTGGATTTGCTGTCACACACATTACTGCCGGGAATGCAAAATGGAGGGGAATTTGGCAGCATCTAAATAAAAGGCATATACAATTACTCTCTGACCCTACAATCTCATTCCAGCAATCTACCCTAAAGCTACGACCCAACAAATAAGAGCATGATTATTTATTGTGGCATTGTTTATAAAAGGAAAAGATGAGAAACAATCCTATACCCTCAACAGGGGACAGGTTAAGTAAATTCTGGTTCATCTACACACTAGGTACCAGGAAGGCCAACGGAAGAATGAGGAAAATCTCCATGAACATGTGTACAGTGATCTCTAGGATACACTGTTAAGTGAAAAATCAAGATGCAGAGCAGGGTAGAAAGTGTTACCTTTTGTGTAAGAAATAAATATAAATAACAATATTTCCATATTTATTTAGTTTGCAAAACAAACTAAAGAAAATAATTACATATTCAGTGGGGAAGGGGTCTGATGAATAGTATGTAGCCGACAAAGATGATAGACTTTTCTAAGTACACCTTTTATAGAATTCTAACTTTTGAACTATGTAAATGCTTTACATATTTGAAAATAAGATTTAATGAAAGAGAGGGAAAAGGCAAATCCTAAAAATGAACAGAAACAAATGAACCTAACTGTATGTTAAATTGGTATTATTACTTCATGGAAGAAAATAGCTATTTCAAACAATGTTTTAACACAGTTTTCTGACTAACAGGAAATATGTTCTAAGGAGATCAACAATAGCAAAGAATTTAAATTTCACTTAGTAGGTTTATTGTTAGAAGTAATATTAGTAATGCAATTTTGGAACTGTTTATTTTAGTTTAAGGGACTTTGATTTTGAAACTATTTTATTTTTGTAGAATAGAGCAAATAAGTAAATATATGAATCATATCAGAAACCAACATTTTCAGTGTAAGAGGTAGAAGTATTTAAAAAAAAACTTTTAAAAGCAAAATTTGCAATATTAAATTTGAATTTGAAATGTAATATAAATGCATGGTTTTAAAACTTTATTTCTTTTATCTTCAGAAAAGCACTAGAGGCAGTGACAGCCCAGTAGCAATGAGCACACCTAGTGCCCAGATCTTGTTTTCTAAACATTAAGTATGCCTTAGATGCCAGACTTGGAGCAGAAAAAGTATGAGATAAGCCTAAACACCTTTTGTGTCAAAAAACAAGGAGGCACTCAAAGATGAATTATGGCTCATCCACATACCAGTACCAGGCAGGTCAACAAAAGAAAGGAATTCTCAAAGATGAATGGAATTCAGATAAAAAAAACACAGAAGTCAGCTTGAAGGGGATTCCTCTGAACAAATGTGATCCAACTTGAGCCAAATCACAAAGAACAGTGGTGGCAATTAATTGTAATACAATGAATTTAAAAGAGAGTCCGTAGAGATGTCCCCCCAAAATAGACAGAGAGAGAGAGAGAGAGAGAGAGAGAGAGAGAGAGACAGAGAGAGAGACAGAGACAGAGAGAGAGACAGAGACAGAGAGAGAGAGAGATTGAGAGAGAGAGAGAGAGAGGGAGAGGGAGAGAGACACGGGGTGGGGGGGGGGACAAAGAAAAGCTCTTTTTTCCATTGAAAAGGGTCCGTTTATGTATGTAAAAAGAATGATAGAATGAGAAAAATATTTAACAACCTCCAGTGTAATAATTGATTAAGGCAAAGATCATCAACGGATGCCAAAACCATTAGGCAAAATGTTCCTGGGGACTGCACAGGAGGTACAAAGTAGTACCTCACAAAATTACTTGTTTCAAAGGGAAAAATGTACCTTTCCCATAGAGACAACTGCAGGCACTTCACCCAGAAGATCAAATAGCATCACTCAAAGTGAGATAACCTAAGGGTATATACCTCCTGGTGTGGATACAATGTGACATAAACTCACTTGCAACATATTCTTACTAAAATGTGTGTAATCTGAGTTCACTCAAGCATCTAAGCCTAACCTTCTAGTTTATGAGACATAGGGATTAAGGAACAAAGGACTTAACCCTGAGCAGAAGCAATCAGACAAATTCAGAACGTGGGACCTTCTACAAAGCATTGACTCTTCAAAGAGCCAATATTATGGACTGAGCTGGCTATGTATCTTTTTAAGATTAAAAAAACATAGTTTATTAAAAAGTAAATTAGAGAGAGACAGAGAAGGGAGAGAGAAGATTCACCTCCCCAAGGTGGGAGAAGGGGCCAAAGCGAGGAAGCATGGCGACAGCCATAGCTCAAAGAGCACATGACCACACCAGAGTCTAGCAAGGCAATGGCCCCTGGCTACATATTTTGTGCAGCCCAGGGCAAACGGAAAAAGCTGGGTCCCTTGTTCAAAAGACAAGAAAAAGCTGCTATTAAATATACTACCTGAAGCCAAGTGTGGTGGCTCAAACTTGTAATCCCAGCACTTTAGGAGGTGGAGGTGAGAGGATTACCTGAGCTCAGGGGTTTGAGACCAGCCTGGGCAACTTGGCGAGACCTTGTATCTATAAAATAAAACAAAACAAAACAAAAAAACTAGCCAGGCATTGTGGCAAACGCCTGTGATTCCAGCTACTTGGAAGACTGAGGATCACCTGAGCCCAGCAGGTCAAAGCTGTGGTGGCCATGAGTGTGCCACTGCACTCCAGCCTGGGTGACAGTGAGACTCCAACTCAAAAAAAAAAAAAAAAAAAAGAAACTACTTGATAAGTGTTTTTCTTTTTTCCACGGTCGCTGTCTTTCTCTTGTTGGATCATGGTATTTTTTAATTTGCTATTTAACATCATTTTAAAATAAAGATAAATTAATTTAATATTTTAAGGCATTAGCACAAATTTTAAAGTTCATCTTTATATTGTTTAATGCCACTTTTAAATGCAAATATAAGAACACTTAGCTCATAAGTGGAATAACAAATATTACATAATTTGCATTTCATGTTTCACACATGCATAAGTATTTTGTTCTTACCAGAGTAGCAGATATGCTGCACAAAATGAACACACTTTTTATTTCACTTTTTTTTTCAAGTTGGCATTTTACTCTTTTGCTTGGGCTTGAGTACAGTAGTGTGATCACAGCTCACTGAAGCTTTGATCTCCTGAGCTCAGGCAATCCTCCTACCTCAGCCTCCCGAGTAGCTGGGACTGCTGATGGGTATCACCATGCCTGGCTAATTTTTTTTATTTTTTGTAGAGACAAGGTCTTGCTATGTTGCCCAGGCTAGTCTTGAACTCCTAGGCTCAAGCAATCTTCCTGCCTTGGCCTCCCAAAGTGGGCATGAGCCACCACATCTGGCCAATTTCACTTCTTAATACACATTCTACCTACTCTTCAGCACACTTATAGATAAGAAAGTACTGAAAGGAACATTTTCTCTGGTTTTCCCTTTTCTTATGTCATCATTTTCAGTGTACGTTAACAGGGAAGCATGATACAGAGAACATATTACTCATCTCACAGAGGACTAAAGTAAGAAAGGATATGACAGGGTTTCATGGACATTTGTGTTTCTTAGACACTGCAGTCTTTGTCTCCATTTGAAGCAAGTTCTGGTTTGAACAGAATGCTTCTAGTACTCAGTAGTAGACGCAACACACACCATGAGTCCACCAGATTTCTGTGCTCATGGGACCCCAAAGTGCTGTCCACAGACAGGGTGGCAAGAAATGGTGGTAGACTCTGCTGCTTGGGTGCATGATCCATTGTCCCAACATATGTCATTTGTAAAACCCAAGTTCAAAGACATGATTAAGAATTTCAGGAGAACTTCAACTGAGCACAGGGTCCTTCTGAGCACCCAGGGCTCTTGCACAGGTCACAGGTGAAGCCAGCCCTGGTCATGGGGGAGAAAATGTGGAGGGAGTACCCTGGGTCAGAGGTGGGCAGACTATAGCCCACAGGGCAGATCCAGCCCCCACTCTTTGGATCTTAGCTGTGAGCTGAGAATGGTTTTTATGTTTGTAAACAGTTGTTAGTGTAAGTACCTATCTTGATTTTGCTTATTGGATGGCAAAACCTAAGATATTTACTGTTTATTATCTGACCCTTTACAGACTCCTGTTCTGGATTAAAAGAGACCAAAGAAGAAAAAAAAGAGAGACAGAGAAATTGAGAGACAGAAGAGCAAAACAATCAAGTGTAATGGGAAAACTTTTAGGGGAAAAAAAACAACTATAAAAATATGCTTAGAGGTAACTGGGAGAAATCTGGATATGCACTTGGTGAAAATGTACATGTTCATTGTATTGCTCTTCCAACTTTTTGCACAGTTGAATTTTTCATGATAAAAAATTGGGGAAAATATACAAGCCTGCTGAGTTTTTCTGCTTCTTGGAGGTTTACAATTATTGTCATTCAGGTCAGGTTTTAAGTATGCCATAAATGATATTAGGGTGCAGGAAAAGGCTGTGTGCTTGGGTCTAGCATTGGAACTGTGCTTGCCCCTAGTGTTGGGGGTCCTCGGGGTACAACCAGTAGAATGCTCTCAAATGTTTTAACCGCCAGATCTCTGGGAAAAGAAAAGCCAATTAGTAATATTGGCCAATCTCCACCACGACTGGTTTCAGGTTACCAACATGATGTCCCTCAAGTTGAAGCTGGGAAGACTATTTGCACATTCAGTTTTCACAGTCCCCCTAGAGTTGTTGGCCGTAATGCACAGCTGCAATCCGGCCTGACAAAGTGTTGAGCCAGACCAAATGCAACCTGATTTCTCAGGAGCCACTGAATTGGAAATAGGGTAGGAGTGGCGATTGGAACCTGAATGACAGGAAAGAAGGAGCACATCAGCTCAGACTTAGGATGAAGTGAGCCTCTCCACCTGAGCTGGCCTCCTTCACTACCTGGCTTTGATCATGGTGTTCCTGGTGGGGTCTGTAGTCACTGAACTGAATGCCCCCCTCCCAGCGGACTGCCCATTTCTAGACCACTCGCAGCACCATCTTCTTTCATAACAGCCCATTCTTGCTCAAGACTCCCTACTGGCTCTCCATTCTACTGGAGTCTGAACTCCCCTGCCCGAGCTTACTCTCCTTGTTCCTCTTCATCTCGCATGCCAATCCATGCTTATCCTCCCACCTGCCAGAGTGCTCTCCTCATTGCCCCACATATACGGTCCACATATTCTGCCTCTCACAAGTTCTCACTAACAGTTCCCTGGCTTGCAATGGTCTACTCTATCCACCTATCCAAATCCTACGAGTCTATAAATTCTGACTCAAGACTCACACATCCCAGGAATCCCCCTCTAGCTGCTCTAGCGCACCATTGACTTCCCTTTCCTTTACTCACTATCTCCATCGCAACCACTGCCTCCGTTATCATCACCTCCACCACTGCCTCCAGTGCCTTCATCTCCTTTGTCGCCTCCGCCATCACTGTTTCTTTCTCTTCACTACCACCACCATTATCACCACCATCACCGCCACCATCATCACCACCGCTGCCACCACCACTGCTGCTGCCATCCCCTCCAGCTTCCCTTTATTTGTTTCAACTCCTACATTACTTCCTTACCTCTGCATCTCTGGTTAACTACTCCCACTACCATTCACACCATCGCTTCCACCAACACTGCTCTACTACCTTCACCATTACTTCCTTTGCCACCATCACTATCACCTCTAATTTTACCTCCATTGACTTCTTCTCCCATATCACCTCCAGCATTATTATCTTTGCTACCATGTCCACCATCACCACCTTCACTATCACCTCCACTTCTGTCTTTGCCTCCTTTGCTTAATTTCACCACCGCTAGTTGCATGAATATTACTATTGCCATTCCTTTGTCCTCTCTCCTTAGCCTTCTCCTCTCTATCATTTCTCTCAGATTTTTCTTTATGTAAAAAAATTTTTTTGAGTTGTAGTCTCACTCTGTTGCCCAGGCTGGAGTGCAGTGCCAAGCTCATGGCCACAGCAGCCTCAAGCTGCTGGGCTCAGGCAATCCTTTTGCCTCAGCCTTCCAAGTAGCTAGAACTACAGGCGCATGCTACCGTGCCCAGCTGATTTAAAAAAAAAATTTACTGTAGAGACCGGGTCTTGCCATGTTGCCCAGGCTGGTCTCGAACCCCTGGGCTTCCTCTCACCTCGGCCTCCCAAAGTGCTGAAATTACAGGTTTGAGTCACTGTGCCCAGTCCAGATTTTTTTTTTTTTTTTTTAACTGTTTGGATGTTCCTATCCCTAGCACTGAATGTAGAGATCTTATATCTGGTCCTTACCCATAAGTGACATCCATGTAAAAATGAGATCGAATTATATAAAGAAAACCTCAGATCTTGCTTAAGCCCACGGACAAGGGCATTCATAATCCTTCTCGGGCCCTAGAGGGGTTGAGTGGCACATTGAGTGCAGTGGGAAAGAGAAAACATGGGCGGTACTACAGGGTGGGTCCACAGGCTCAATAGCTCCCTGCTCCGAGTCCTGCTTCCCCATCATTATCAGAAGCAAGGTCACCTGGGCTTGAGGCCAGTGTTGCAGGAAGCACACATGGTGCCAGGCTGGGATGGATGAGTGGTCACTCCGGCCCAACGCCTGGTCTCCCATGTCTGGGATGCTCGGTGGGAAAGCATGCTGTTTTACCAGACTCCAACCTCAAAGGGTTAGGCAAGATTCCCAAACAGCCTCAGCTTCCCTTAATAATCACTGTGACTCTCCCACCCCTGAAATTATCAAAACCCTCCTTGAGCCTATTTTTATTTGCCTCCCTACCATCTCTAGGATGGATTAGTTCCAGATGTTTGTAGCTTCCTGGGCAAAAGACTGCTTCCCATGATCTCTCCCAAAGCATCCTTTTCTAAACTTCTTGGGGTACTCCCTGTTTCTACCATGTTGAGCCTTCTCCATATTCTTCAAGTCACCACACTCTGAGCACTTTCTTTCTTCTTCGCCTCTCAAAAATGAATAAGAAAAAATATTCAACCTATTTTCAGTCCTTCTGTGCACTGATAGGTGTAACTGCTCTTTCCTTCACGTAGTAATGCCTTTTTTACTGGTTAATGGGAAATGAGCCATGACCGCCAGGTATTCATCCAATACCTTCAGGTGCCTTCAGAATTCAAAGAAGAGCATGACATCAAAGTCTCCTCACGATCTGGCACCCTGCCTTCTGACTTGTCCTTCTCCCTCACCACCCTGCTTTCCTGTCACATGTCCTGTGTCATCTACTAAGCTCTCACATCTCTGTGGCTTTGGACCTGGGGCTTCCTCCACCTGGAATGTTATTCCTCTCCTTCTTCTGGTTCAAAACCCAGCTCAGGCACTGGGTCTCTAGAAAGCTTCCCTAATAGTCCCAAAGTCCTCCGTATGCCCTGAATCAGAGCATTTAACACACTCTACTATAACTGTCAGTTTCGGCTCCCCCATCAGGCTGTGTCATCTCCTCTGCCCAGACTGTGATCTCCACGAGGGAGGGACCATGCCTTCATCTCTGACTTGAAATAGCTTGTATTGTTGGTTTGGGATGCCTTGTGTAAGAATTCCCAAGCCTGGGCAATATAATGAGACCTCATCTTTACAAAAAATAAAAAAATTAGCCAGGCGTGGTGGCATGTACCTGTAGTCTCAGCTACTCAAGAGGCCGAGGTGGAAGGATCACCTGAACCCAGGAGGTTAAGGCTGTGGTGAGCTGTAATTGTGCCACTGCACTCCAGCCTGAGTGATAGAGCTAGACCCTAGCTCAAAGAGAAGTTCCTGTTATTGTGTTTTTGACCTATAAACCTTAATAAGACAGGATGTATTTTTAAAAGGCATAAGGATGAGAGAATTCCGTGTTTCTAAGAGAGGAACATCCCTTTCAGAATGCCACACAGAGGGAAAATGTAGGGAACTTGGATGGATCAGGCAGTGGGGGGGGTATGCTGGGGGTGGCCCTGCCTAGTGGCGTTTACAGCAGGGTCAGGCTTAACTTCCTGGCTGGGCTAGGGGGCACAAATTGTCTCTTTGCAGGAACTCCAGTGTCGGTGACCAGCACTGACCAAGGGTGGGTTAGGACCTGCACCAGAGAATCTGGACGGCGAGAAGAGACTACTCGGAGGCAGTTCTTCTGGGAACAGTCTGATCAGGACTGAAGCCAAATTTTATTCGGACTCCTTCCAACTTATATACCATTTTCTATACCCTCCAGCAGTGTGATAATCACTTACTGGGGGCGTACAAGTTCCGTGCTTTACAAACTATGCATCACAAGACCACCACGAGATCTGCAATTTCCAAGCAAACAATTCGAATTCCATGTTGCCTGCCGTGCTTACATTAAGGTCACAGGTGCACAATTTCAATACAAATCGTTCAAAGTGTTTTCCATAATGTTCAATGAATCATTCATATTATACTCTTTGTTCTATACCCTGATTAATACAAAAAACTTTTCTAAGTTAACTCAAGGTTCAATCCAAGTTCACTGACTCCCAATATTTTTAACGATTAATATTATCAACTTAACACTATACTATAATCTATAAGTTTAGTTAAATGACTTAACTGTCAGTTATACTATTAACCTATTATGATTTAACGTAATGCCTTATAACTCAGTTAAAACTTAAACTACAAAACTTTACTATAATTCATATGTTTCATATGTCTAAACTTTAATTTTTATATGATCTAGTGATTGGACTTTATACTATGCTATATCCTATTAAGCTAATACCTCATTATTAAAATCGTATAGTAACTATTACACTTGAATAATGTAGCAAAAGGAAACAAAACAGCAAGCATAGATTTACGCAACTATGAGTGTATATGTATATATTTTATCCTAACAAGTCTACTCTAAAAATCAAATAGTAGCTGTCACACTCTTGAACAAGGAAATGCATGGCTGCCAAGATGGCGGCCATGGGCTGAAGCAGACAGAGTTTCGGTAATTAACGAAACAAAAGAAAACGTTCTGCCTGGCTAGGGGCAGGGTGACAAAACTATCATGGTAATTTAGTTTCTAATGTTAGCCCTAGGGGAAACAGCTTTTGGGAACAAGAGCTGACTACCCAGTCTACCAGGAAATAGAAGTTAAAAAATATCTAGAAAGAAGTAAAACTTAGAAAGACAGAGAGAAATAATTCTGCTATGCACTTTCCATCAGGTGTATTGAGATTTACTTATAAGTTTTACTGCCATGTATGCACACTGGTCACTAATCACACGCCAATATTATGGGTATAAGTCACTACTTAGGACCAAGCCTTGTATGTGTCCCTTCCCTGTGGGCTCTAAAACCACAGTTCCTGCCCTGGACCATGCTTGTTTATTTCCTTGTCAAACATCCTTTCCATTTGGCTGAGATTATTGCTG